ATGTTTTCAAACTTTTATACTCTACACATCTATCTGAAACTTGTTTTGTCACTCAGCAGTGTATTTTCGAGATTTATCTCTGTTGATAAAACAGCTACAAATGGTCCCATTGTATGAATGTATCAGAATTTGTTCACTGGGTTGATAGATACTTGTGTTGTTTAGTTTTTTCATTTTACTATTATAATATTGCAGTAGACATTGCATCATCCACAAGTGAAAGCTTCTAGAATTTACTCCTAGAAGTGAAATTGCTGGATTGTAAGATATACGTCCCGTCAGAGTTAGTGAGATGTTGACAATTTATTCTTCAAAATGGTTACTCCTGTGAACATATCGTTGGCAAAATGTGAGTGTTCCTTCAATTTTTCCACCTCATCACCAACACTTGATAGTGTCAGATTATTTAATTTTCACCAGTTTGATGGATGTAAAATGGTATCTCATTGTTTTAATTTTAAACTTTCTGATTACTGGTGAGGTCGAACATTTTCTTATGTGTGTGATTGTTCGTTCAAATTTCTGTTGCTGAGAATAGCTTATTCATATATTTTGCCTGTATTTCTATTAGTTCATTGCAAATATCCTCCCAGTTTGCGTTTTGTCTTTCATATCGCCTGTAATGTCGTGTTTCACAGGGTTTACATTTTTGTTTAATGATATTTATACAGTCTTTCCCTTCAGGAATATCCTTAATGTCTTCATTTCTTCAATTTTCCTTTTTTTTTTTTTTTTTTTTGAGACGGAGTCTCGCTCTGTCGCCCATGCTGGAGTGCAATGGTGTGATCTCTGCTCACTGCAACCTCTGCCTCCCGGGTTCAAGTGATTCTCTTGCCACAGCCTCCTGAGCAGCTGGGATTACAGGCACACACCATCACACCCAACTCTTTTATATATATATATTTTTCAGTAGAGACGGGGTTTCACCATGTTGGTCAGGCTGGTCTCGAGCTCCTGACCTCGTGATCTGCCTGCCTCGGCCTCCCAAAGTGCTGGGATTACAGGCGTGAGCTACTGCGTCCAGCCCAAATAGTAATTCTTTTACAAAAGATACTCTGTGATTTGTTATAATCTTCTGGCATCAGTAGAATTTACCTTAATTAATGACTGCATGCTATTGTTTTAATTTATAGCTGCATTTTATAAGCTCAGTTAAAAATGATTTTTCTGCCTATGCTCCTTGAGGAACCCATGGATTGATAAAATTTATTGATCAACAAAATTTAGCAAATAGTATGCACAAGCCATTCCTGCCTTTCAGGTAGATGTTGCTAATTGCCTGCATTATTTTCTTCATTTGTGTATTCATATATTCACTTAACAGCTGTTTTGGGAAAATCTGCTAATGTCCTTGAGCCTGGTTCTAATCATTTCAAGCCAGTTTTACTGAAATTGCACTTGTGCACATTTGCCATCCTAAGACTGTGTGTTTATGTGTGTGTGTGCGCCTGTGTGGTATTTCTTACAGGTTTTTGGATGGGGATAATACTCATCTCTTAGAATGAATTGGGTGTCAGATCTTGTTTCTGTGATTTGGAACTGATTACATAATACAGAAAAATCTGTTTGAGTATGTAGTAATATTGTTCAGTAAATTTGTTGAGGTCATAATATTTCTTGTGGTAGATGAGATTTTTTTAAATAACAACTTTTCAGTTTCCTTTGCCTTCATCATTATTTTCATGTTACCTACATCTTCTCTTGCCAGTTTGTATTTTGTGTTGTCCATTTGGCTAAGCATTTCAAGTTGATTATCATAAATCGTGCATTGCAATCATTTATATTTTAAAATCCTTTATATCAGTTGTTAAATCATTGGCCTTGTTTTTAATTTTGTTGATTTATACCTTTTCTTTTGTTTATTATATTTCCAAGGGGTTGATCTATCTTGTAATCTTCTCACAGAATGAGCATCTATTTATTATTTCCACTGATTTCCTCTTTTCTAGTTTATTTCTGCTCTTATTCTTTATTATTGTCTCTCTGTTTTCCTTCATAATGACTGTCTTCATAAGATTTTAAGTCAAATGCTTATTTCATATTTCTAAAATAAAAGCACATAGATTTATGCCTTAACTTCTGGGCCCTGATTTATACAAAGCCCCCTTCCTTTTGATATGGGGTGTTTTCAGTTTTATAAACATCGCAAAAGTTATTATCATGTTCTTAATTTTCTACTTCAGTGATCCTTAACGTTTTTGGCACCAGGGACCAGTTTTGCGGGAGACAATTTTTCCATGAATGGGGGTAGGTGGGCGATGGTTTCAGAATGATTTGAGCATATTGCATTTATTGCACACTTTATTTCCATTACTATTACATTGTTAATATATAAAGAAATAATAATATAACCGTAATCTACTCACCATAATGTGGAGTCAGTGGGAGACCTGAGATTGTTTGCCTGAAACTAAATGGTCCTGTCTGGGGGTGATGGGAGACAGTGACACATCATCAGGCATTAGATTCTCATAAGGACCATGCAATCTAGAGTCCTCGCATACACAGTTCACAATAGGATTTGCGGATGCTATGAGAATCTAATGCCCCCGCTGATGCGACAGGAAGTGGAGTTTAGGCGGGAATGTGACTGATAGGGAGCAACTGTAAATACGGGTATAGCTCCGCTGCTCACCTCCTGCTGTGTGGCCGGGTTCCTAACAGGCCACAGACTGGTACTGGGGATTGGAGACCCCTGTTCTACTTGAACTTGTAGTTTAGGAAAGTTTTTGTGGTTGTTAGACATTGATACCCATTAATTTGTTGCTGCTGTAAATTTTTATTAATATTTTAATATAATTTTAAACTAATAGAAATGTTAAAAGACTAGTATGAACTCCTATACACCTTTTACCTAGGTGCACTGTTGGTTTGTATTTTTCCCTAGTTATCATGCACTCTGTCTCTATGTATATGTGAATGTTTTTCTGAATGATTTGAGAGTAAGCTGCATACATATATATATACCTAAATACTTCAATATATATTTCCTGACACAAATATTTTCTTTTGTAAAATTAGAAATTTAACAGTAAAATCAGGAGATTTCATATTGATACCATATGATTAATCCCACCATTCACATTCAAATTGTCAGTTATTCCAATATTGTGTTTTTTATATATATATATATATTTTTATATATATTTTAAATATATATATTTTTATATATATTTTAAATATATATATTATATATATATTTTATATATATTATATATATATAAAACATATATATAACATATATAAATATAAAATATATGTGTGTTTTATATATGTGTGTGCGTATACATGTATATATGTATATATGTAGAAAGACAGAAATTGGGGGTATTTTAAAATTTATAATGACAGGCAAGCGACTGAGATGGCTGCATGCCTATGGCAATCACTATCTGTAGGCCACCCAAGCATAAATACTTATTTTCTTCTTGTACCCCGTTTTTCAGAAGTTCATGTTTATTTTCATCTTTACTATTTTTTATTATTCATATACTATATATTCATAGTAGAAAAGATAAAGCAATATAACAAAAATTGGCAGAAATATACAGATATGCATAGAGATAACCACTGTTAGTATTTAGATGAATATTTTATAGACTTTTGCTTTCAATCAACAAAAATTCTAGACACTTTTTCTTGTTAAATATGAGTACATTAAAAATGGAGTTATATTGTACGGCCATGGTTTTAACTCTCTTTTAAGTCTCAGTTTATTTGACATACTTCATAGGTAATCTTCGTAACAACTTAGCAAAGTAGAGCCACATTTTTAGATGAGGAATCCAAGGTTCAGAGAGGTTCAGTAAACTGCCCAGGTCACACTGCAGTAAGGAATGGAGTTTATAATCTAAACCCTGAACTGTTTGCTGCAAAGGCTCTTGGTTAGATTATTCTTTTGCCTGAGGCTCCTTTCATTGCTTTTACTTATTCACATTTAGTTTTATTGCATGTGGTGAGAAAATATGTATATTTTTTCCTCTTGATTCAATTTTTGGGGCCTTATTTGAGAGTTAGTATATATGTACCAATGCCCACAGATGGAAAAAATGTATATTCTATGTTGGTATTGAGTTCAATGTATGTGTATTTGTTGTAACTTATCAATTGTATAACATAACCTCTATTGTCTATTTTTGTCACATCTTCAATGTCTTCCAAATTTTTGTCTATTTAAATTTGTCTTTATTTTTTAATACTGTCTATTTTTTTCTTAGCCTTGAAATCAATTAAACTCTCCCATTACAATTGCTTGTTTTTTAATCTATTTCTCTTTGCATTTCTAACTTTAGTAATCTCTGTCTTCACAGTTAATTTTATATTTTTTATCATAATCAGGAGCTTCTTTGTATCCTCTCCCTATGTTTTTGGCTTCAAAATCTCTTTTATATGCTATCAACTTTACCAACTGTTTTCTTTTTGTTGTATGAGTTTCCTCATAAAACCTTTTTATTTTAGCATTTCTGCATTTTTTTGGTAACAGATTCCTATTTTTAAAAAACATACATATTGTTGGGTCTTATGTTTTAATCTAACATGAGAATTTGTCTTTTTAGAAATCAATGGCCTAAATGTATAAAGTTCTTTGGGGTGAAGCTAGTGTATTGATATGAGATGGGCTCCTAGCTACTAGCTGTGGACCTTCTACAAGTTCCTTAAATACCCCGTGAGGAAGCTACTTACAGGCATCTTTATCTGGAAAATCATGTTAATAAGCATACCAGCGTGAGAGAGTTGCTTCGAAGACTAAATGAGATCAAGAGCACTTACAAATAGAAGCATATTAAAGCATATTAAACTGATTATTTGTAAAATGCAATTGTCAATATTTGCTATTGTAGACATTATGTCTGGAAATACCATTCAAAGCAAGTTTCTTGGCAATTATAACAAAGCAAGTTTGTTAAACGATGATCTATGCTCAAAATGGGGATAATCAGTTCTATACTTTTCTCCAACCATATTTTAAATTTTTCTTTGAGATAATGGGAATAACTTACAAGAAAAACTGCTGAGAAGCAGTGGTCCAAAGCCCTTTAGAAGCTCTCAGGGTTCAGTTCAAGTTGTCCATCTCCATTTCTGGCTGTACCTGGAGCTTCACAGCTTGACTTACATTCAGCCATGTCAGGAATCACTCACTGCCTTGCTTTCCATTTAGTTAATTAAGTGCTTAGGTTTACGAATAAGTTATTTGCTCTCATGACGGGTATGGAAGCTGCAGGCTTTGCTGTGCCTCGGCAATTCTCATCAGGCGTGGAAAAACTGAAACTAAGAAAAACCAAGCAAGCAATGACAGATTTTCTACTTCCTGGATTGTGTGACTTGCTCATCCAATGAAAGGCAATGAGGGTGGGGGCGGGGGGCAACCAGAGATGAGGACTGATTCTCAGCTTGTGGTTCTCCTCAGCAGTCCTCCAGCCCCTGCAGAGCTGGAACCTCTGCATCAGTGAAAGCTGCTAGGAATTCAAAGGGCATTCACATTCACTTCTGCTCCTCAGGATCAGAGGCAGTGAGGAAAGCTAAAAAAAAGTCTGAGGTTTAAATTGGAACCCATTTTTAACTTTTCAAATGTTCTTAGTATTTTAGGATCCAGAAAACCTTAAATCAGACAATTCTATATTACCAAACTGAAGAATAGTCTATCATATCATAATCTGATATGCTCCAGACTGACCTGATTTAGTCTTAGTTGTATGAACTTCAAACCTCTGATGGCTTCTATCTGATCACTCAGGGGAAGCTGCAGGTCCGTTTCCCATCTGAAGCAATAGAGGCACCTTTTTTTTTTTTTTTTTTTTTTTTTCTCTTTAAAAACTTCTCTGAGAATAATCTTCATCTGGTGTCTTGTTACACAAATGTTTCCAAGTCCCTCCCTAGAGATTCTGATTCAGTGGGTCTGGAATGGGGCTTCAGATTTGTGGTCTCTTTTTTGTTTGTTTGTTTGTTTGTTTTTTTGAGACAGTGTCTCACTCTGTCATCCAGGCTGGAGCGTGGCGGCGCGATCTTGGCTTCCTGCAACCTCTACCTCCCAGGTTCGAGTGATTTTCCTGCCTCAGCCTCCTGCGTAGCTGGGACTACAGGCACACACCACCACACCCAGCTAAGTTTTGTTATTTTTAGTAGAGACAGTGTTCTACCATGTTGGCCAGGCTGGCCTCAAACTCCTCACCTCAAGTGATCCACCCGCCTCGGCATCCCAAAGTGCTGAGATTGCAGGCATGAACCACCGTGCCCAGCCAGATTTGTGTTCTTAACCTTAGCTTGGGAACAATGGAGTAGACTGAGGGGATAGATTCCACTTTTAGAATTAGAGAGCCTTGGGCTCAAGTCCTGGGTCTTTCACTTGCTCATTATATGGTCTTGCACAAATTACTTAACCTTCGTCAACCTCATCTAAAAACAACTGGAGACAAAAACATCTATCTCAAAGTGCTGTCAAGAGGATTAAAATAACTCTAACACCCTTGATAGCGTCCACTTTTCTCAGTATTGCTAACTCGTTTCTACCCAGGTTAATTTGAAGATTATCTGTGAATTTATTTAGCTCACAGCCATAATGTTTTTTACTTATTTTCCCTGTTTATTTGTTATATATTTGTGAAGCTTTTGCTGTGTGCAGGACGCTGGGGTTTTTAGAACCCACTGAGCACTCCTGATGGTATCACCTGCTCACACGGTCCATCTCAGGTTGTGTTTTTGTTTTTGTTTTTTGAGACAGAGTCTCGCTCTGTCTCCCAGGCTAGTGTGCAGTTGTGGGATCCTGGCTCACTGCAACCTCCACCTCCCAGGTTCAAGCAGTTCTCCTGCCTCAGGCTCCCAGGTAGCTGGGACTACAGGCATGCACCATGATGCCCGGCTAATTTTTGTGTTTTTGGTTTCACCATGTTTGCCAGGCTGGTCTCGAACTCCTGATCTCCAGTGATGTGCCCGCCTCAGCCTCCCAAAGTGCTGAGATTACAGGCATGAGCCACTGCGCCCCACCCATCTCAGGTTTTTGAAAGTACTACCCAACTTTCTTGTGTGAACAACTCTATCTAGCAGGCTCTTAGTTATTTGTGAGCTTCTTAGACTAGGAAAGCCATGTCCCTATTCCACCTTTGTACCAGAAATTCAATTTTTCTGGAATCTAATCATGTGTACATTTTTTTTCCAAAAGAAAATATATATAAAATTATTCAATTTGATTTTACACAGAATATGTTCTACGTACTTTGCATTGTGTAAACTTGTCTCTTTTTGGACACAGAAACCTTTCTACTTTTCCCCCTCCCCTCATAATAGCAAGAATCCAATGGATTTTTGATGATTATATGTATGTTTTCTTTATATTTAGTTTTGCTTCAAAAGAATGTAAGCACTTTTAAAAGATACAAACAATGCAAGACATTAAGAGGAAAATTTAGGTAGAAAAAAAGCATGGGAAAAATATAGTGAATTGATAAATGAAATTACACTTCAAATACATGTTGTACAGTCTTTTATACTTCCCAGTGATTGGCCAGATATTTGGCTCTGAACTCTCTAGCACTCATTGCAAACCCTCTGCAGACAAAAGATGGAGGTGATGATTCTCAAGCCATATAGATGATTATTGGGCTCATCATCTATATGAGTCTTGAACATTGTTTTAACTTTTCCACTGGCCCAAGACTTTGGGTCCTAATCAACATTAGGGTCATTAAGAGTCTACAGAAGGGTCATAAGTACCATGGAAAATGATGTGCTCTCCAATCTTCCAGCCAAACACAAAATAGATCAGGGAATAAGGAGGCCTCTTGCTGCAGAGGAGATGATAGCCAGGTGGAAGAGCTGGGCCAAGGATCAGCCAATCTTCTGGTCCGGAAACTGTAACCATGGCAACAGTAGTGAAGGCAGCTCTATTTCCATCAGCAGTGACACCCTTAAGAGGTACCGGCAGAGAGAGAAGCCTATTATACATCTGGGCAAGAGTCTAGGCGAGGGACGTTCATGTAATTTTTAAGCATAATCGTTGGGAGAAAATAAACAGCCTCTTTCATGTTAACCTTGCAAACTCAAATAGACAAAGTGAAGGCCAATGACCCGGCGGTACTGCCTGGCTGAGGCTGGGTGTGAGTGCCTTGCATAGGAACCTATAGACTGCCTCAGGTTTGCCTTTTATTCTCTTTACTTTCTAGTAACAGTGCTCACAGAACTTCCAATAAGCAAAGCCCAGAGGAGGATAGTTGCTTTTGAAGCCACACTCTTGTCTGCCTCATTCATTTCAAACAGAGACACTTCTGAAAGAGATGAAGGCCTGTGTACAAACAACAATGCCCACTGCATTCTGTTGCCTTTAGCTGTGATGTGGTGGCTTTTGATTCTACACAGAAGGTCCTTGTTTCAGACACTGATTGATGGATCTTCTGAATGAAGGAGGCAGCAAGAACAAATGAACAAGGCTCCCGGTAAGGCGAGGTGCTTCAAGAGGATAGGCTGGAAAGCGCTTAAAATAAAAGGTAAACACAAGCCTCCACAAAAGCAAAAAAATACCAAGGCACTGAGCTCTGAGTGGTTGATAATTTGTAGTTCCTAAGGATTTCCACACATTTGTGCAAACACATATAAACTCCTTGGAGAACTCTGACCTGGAATTTCAGACTTTTTGGTGGAGGAACCAAAAGTTAAACCCAAATAGATTTCATAAAACAGGTAAGACTAATTGAAATGAAGAGTATTAGAGGTCTGAGTCTGGTTTGAGGCAGTGAAACAGAAAATAATGCCATGAAAGAGCAGGTGATGGGGTGTCTCCGTCTCAGAGAGGGATGTGATTTTTCACTAGAAACCCATGGAAAGCTACATAAAGGCTCATTCTAAACACCATGGACAGTGTTAGGACCTGCTGTGAGGAAGCTGTATGACATATGCCTCCTTTCTCCATCAACCCTTGTCCTTCCGTATTGCCTAATAGAAACAAACCAGTGAAAAATCCACATGAGAAATCTGGCTACACTCAGTTCTTTTGCAAGAAAACACTATCAAACTCCCTGTGAGTCTGCATTCTTCATAGTCCCTCGGGGACCGTGGTGCAGGCTGAGGAGATGGGGTGGGGATAGTGAGGCTGGAGGGAGAGGAAGGGAAAGTTAAAAGAAGCAGGCATCCTTGTCCTGACTAGTGATTTTTATATACTATGTTCTTATAAAAAATAATTTTCACCAGCTAGACGATGTTCTATTGTTTAACTAAATTAGGGGTGTTAAAATAGAGATCATAAGAATGATGGAATGGACTCTTTGTGGCAAAAAGATACTAAATTATAAACAAGACCCAAGGCCATGCCAGGGTAGGGTTAAGTCACACATCTCAACAGTTAAAGAATAAACTAGGTTCTAACAGCTGCAAGGTTTTTCTTTTTCTCTAGCAGCTAAATAAGCACTGGCCACCAGAGAAGCAATGTTGAAATGATTGCAGCTCACCAACCACCAGACACTAACTGATCCAGCTCCCTACCCCTTTTCTGCAAGCCATAACTACTACTTTGATTGGATAAGAGACTGATTTCAGTAACTTTCTCCTGGTAAGAGTCCACTGAGCATAGACTGGTTCTGGCCAGTTTACAGAGGCTTGCACTGAGTGCCTTCCTGTCCTCTGCTTCACCTTTTGATATATAGGACCTAATTGCAAGGAATTTAAATGTTAAGTCTCTACCCCAAAGTGAACAGAGGACACATGTAACATGCATATTTGTTTACTAGGCATGTATGCACCTCCCTTCGGGAATATTCATTGCTCTTCCTATAACCTGTCGAGTATGTGTACTTAGCTAACCCATTCAGCACAAATTACTGTTCTACTCTTTCCTCCCTCAAAGTGCCTGCTTTTGGTTTCTTCTGGAGGCTATGCTTTCAAGTCTATGAGATTTCCAGCCTGCAGGCTGCAACCCTTTATAAAAAACAAACCTCTCCTCTCCAATATTATAGCTCTGTGAATTTATGTTGACAGGTTAATAACTCAATTTCACAGAAAAAAATTAAATCAGACACTCTTTGTTGCCCACACAACAGCCATTCTCTCCTTTAACTTTTCACTTGCAGAGTCCTAGTTTTGATTGGCAGTCCTCCTATGCCTGTCATGATTCAGGGAACCTTGACCCTATCCTGAACTCCAGGAATAAGTCCTAATTACATATTTTTTAGTGGTAACTATGGTAGGTAAAATTTTAAGATGGTCTTATGATCTTTACCCTCTGCTGTTACATCTATGAGTATGGCAGAAGACTTATT